GAAAAATTGTGTTCTTGGATAAAACATTGGCTTAAAGATAGAGTGCTGAGAGTAGTAGTATAAGGAACTTACCTCTGCCTGGCGTCTGCTCCTCTTCCCTCCTCGGGCCATGCGGGCAGAGCGCGCCATGTGGCTGCATTACTCTAGCCTCTCAGACCAGGCAGCCTGAATGCTCCACGTGACCTGAATAGGATTGTATTCCCCTTTGGTCCAGCAAACAGCTCCCTCTGCTGGTTTGCGGGCCAAACTGCAATCCCTATAAATAAAAGTTATTGCCATGACGTTACGCCCTGAAAGGGACCGCGTCATCTAGGCAATCCCATGCTGTTTGGGGTCAGTGGGAATGCATATGAACCTATTTAAGGCCTGTTCTGCCCCTTACTCGCTGCCATATAGTGGTTTCTGTCCCGATACGTTAGGATTGTAGCGGATAGCTGCTCTTACACAGCATAACTCCACTTTAGTTCCCAGTAAGGCTCAGGAACAAGTATTATAAATCCAGAAGGTAATATTTCCAGCAGGCAAAACACTCCAACAATATCCCAACCTCAATCCCAATGACTGGACGACACACAGCATCAGGAGCAGAACTGAACTTTTAATCACACATATTCCTTATAAAGGCTTCTCCCATGCAAGGGAGGGATTTACAATAATTGGGACAGTAGCCAATAGTACAGTAGTTACCTCCCATACATCTCCTCCCCTCAGTGTGACACTTAATCCACTTATCTGTGTTATAGTTTTCCCCAGTTTCTGGATGTACCCTAAAACTGTGGGGTACAATGGTCTAAGTGGTACCGAAAAGGGTTCCATGTATTTTGGCCCTGCGGTCGGTCTCCGTTCGGGAGATGAAACATACATAAACTTGTGCTATCCACTATTAAAAACACATTCATATGAATCCCCTTGTTCGGTACATTGAATTCACCGAACGAGGGGCTAATTTGCCCCTCCGTTCGGGAGTTACGGAGCTCTGGAGGTCTCAGCGGTGTTCGGGTAATTGAGTGTCCGATTTGAGTTCCAGACACTCGACGACCAAACACCGCTGAGGTTTCGTGCGTAAGATGGCCGCCGCCACGTGTTCGCATACCGAATGGCGGCCACCCAGATACAGCAATAAAGTACCGATTGACTTGTGGTTAGAGAAGTGTGAAAGCTTAATAAGGTACACACTTCTCTCTGGGGTGGTCTACTGGTTCGGTAGTTTTCATTCGTATGGAATACGGATGAAACTACCGAACAAACATACGAATCCTACATACAATTTTAATCATACAGGAAAATAATCACACAAATTGTCTTTTAAATATAACCCTTGATGACAGTCCAGTGCCATCCGCTACAAGAGACTTACTATAAGCACGGATATGGATATCAGCTTTTTTCTGACTGTGTAATTCTGGTATCCTGACCCACCTTTCATTCCATTTATCCATACTTCTATATCCCTGACCTTGGCTATTCCTGACTCTGTCTATCTGTATTAACCTTAAGGCCTGGTAATATGTCTAGTACCTCTGTTTGTGGGATTTGTCATTCTGTAAGTTGGGGAACATTTTGCCTTTTTTTAAATCAACAGCATAAAACAATGGGTTTCAATGTAAAATTTTATGGACTTTAGTCTTTTTTCAACCTGGACTACCACGTAACTAATAAAAGACAATAAATGGACATTGGTGTGCCATGGACAGGCCTAGCAAAGAAGGAACCGGGAAATAACAGGACTAAACTAGATAAATACTTTAGAACAGAGAGGAACACAAAAAATAGAAAACAAAACGGTCAAAAGACAAAAAAAAATAAAAAATACCGGCTGAGTCAAGAACAGCAAAACGTAGTCAGACAAGCCAAAGTCAGGATCTGGTACACAAACGGTATTCATGCAATCCAGCTCTGATACACATAGACAAGAGATCAAGAAACTCAATACAGGACAAACTGACTAAAGGGCTCAGGAACTACAAATGGGTCCAGAGCTCTCTTTAAAAAGGGAGGTCCAGCACATAATTGGCTCTGCTTTCTGTGAATAATCAGCAAAGAAAAGCCGCACCTGTGTACCAATGAAACGGTAAATGTGATTCACGCAGGTGAGAAGCAAACAGGTAGCCTTCTGGAATCACCCATAAGCGCAGGTTCCACAGTGGTGCAGCAATAGAATGTGGGAAAGAGGGGTTCAAGACCCCCAGAGCCTAAGAGCATTTCCTGCCAGTAACATGATGGTCCATCACACTGTATCATCAGCATTTCCTGCCAGTAACATGATGGTCCATCACACTGTATCATCAGCATTTCCTGCCAGTAACATGATGGTCCATCACCAGGCCCGGACTGGCCATCGGGCATACCGGGCAAATGCCCGGTGGGCCGCGATGGCCGTGGGGCCGAGGCCGGCAGGGGATCTCCCCGGCCGGCACATGCAGGGCCAGCGCTGTCCGAGCGCCGGCCCTGCTGTGTGTCTCCATGGGCCGGTGGGGAGATCAAAGATCTCCCTTTACCGGCCCAGAGACACTTCCAGGCGGCCGCTTGCTGGGGTGTGAGGGAGGGAGGAGAGGACCGGCGGAGCTCTAACTAGCAGCTCCACCGGGTCCTCTCGCGGGATTCTGAGCGTTGCCGCTCACCACTGGGCCACCAGGGATCAGGCAGCATGGCTCTCCCATGGCAGAACGGCTCCCGCCTGTCCCAGGCAAAATGGTTCCCCCCCCCCCTCCCAGGCTAAAGGTAAGTTTAATTTTTAAACTTTTTTTAAAATTATTATTATTAATAAAAAAAAAATTAATTTAAATTAAAAAATCACACTCACACACACACACACATCACCCCCAGACACACACAGTACCCCCAGACACACACAGACACACACATCACCCAGACACACACCCCCAGACACACACAGCACCCAGACACACACACAGACACCAGACACACATCCCCCCCAGACACACACAGTACCCCCAGACACACACATCACCCCCAGACACACACATCACCCCCAGACACATGATGATCCAGTAGCTCTAGAATGGTCCTGTTATAGGGCTTTACATTCTCCCCTTTACAATGAGGTTATTTTTGCCCTTATCTAAATTCCTCCTTCACTGTCAAAACTGTTTTTATTAAAACAATGAGAAAGTTAAAACTCCATTATAAATAATACATGTATTGCATTCATAGCATTAATTAAAATGACACTGTTTGAATGAATGCTTTGCTTTCAATTATAAATGACAAGAATTAAACAATCTGAACAATATTAAACAGAATCTATATATATATTCTTGGATTCAAAATGGAGCAATAACTGGGAAACGTTGCCTTGGGGCAGGAAATAATCGGGGATTAGCACAACCCTCTTTTCATCTTGTCTTATTTTAGCTTTAATTGGCTATAGGGGTCCCTCTATTCCCCCCACACACACATACATATTTTTTTTCCATTAAAGCCGCCTACACTAATGTAATTGTAATTTCTTCACTGATTCATAGGTACACCCCTTCTCGGTCTCTCCGCTCTGCCAGTGACCTTCTCCTGTCCGCTGCTTGCACCTGTACGGCTAACTCGCACTTTCAGTACTTCCCGCGGACGGCTCCTTTCCTTTGGAACAGCCTGTCTACCCCCATCAGACTCTCCCCTAGTCTGCAATCATTTAAGAAGTCCCTCAAAACACATTTCTTCAGAAATGCTTATGGCCTCCCAGGGCAACTGTCATTACTCTCTCAATGGAATTAGTGCCACATTGCCACTTGACACTCACCCTCCAAATCTGCTACTGTCCTCTGATGCGGCCCTTTCCTTTTTATACCCTACCTCATCTAGATTGTAAGATCTTTCGAGCAGGGTCCTCATCCACCTATTGTTTCTGTTCAATTTGTAATGGTCTCATTTATTGTTAAGCGCTGTGGTACAAGTTAGTGCTGTGAAGGATTTTCATGTACTTACTTGTGTGCCTTCAGTTATACCTTCTCCCTGCTGTTTAACCGCTTAAGGACACATGACATGTCATGATTCCCTTTTATTCCAGAAGTTTGGTCCTTAAGGGGTTAAATGCCTGTATCAGTTTGTTTCACTATGTATTGAATGAATGTATTCGTTTACCGAACAGAGACCACCCACCCTGGGTAGCAATCAGCATTGGAACGAAGAGAAAACCGCAACTTAATTGCTCCTGGGTGGCCGCCATTCGGCATACGAACACGTGGCGAGAACAAAGGATGCCGGCCATCTTAAAACTCACGAATGCGGTCAGCGGGGCTTACCCATGAATTGCCTGGAACTATTTTCGGCAAGGCAAACATGGGAAGTCCTGGATGTATACGTTCCCCTACACGAATCCAATTGGCATTCGGTAGATAGAATCTACCAAACGAGGGGAACATTTGTATGTAACCAGCTGAACCATACGAACTGTGGTTTTCGTGTAGTTAGATGCGAATGGAGGCTCTTGCTACTGATTCTATGGAACTCTAACTCTGATACCTCCATATGGCGAGCCGGTCAAACTTCCACACGATGCGACACTGAAACTACCGAACGGAAATTCGTGAGATTTGGATATGTAACTACCAGTATCCTCAGCTACCCAGGGATGTTAAAAGTATATTTGTATGTCTTGTAAAAAGTATGTTTCTGAAATTGTTAAAAATTAACACTATCTTAAATACAATATAGAATATTTCACAAGATATAGAGGATATAACCAAGCCTTAGAATGAGCACAGGAAATGCAGGTTATTCATTAACTCAAATCTGAGTACTGGACGGCAGGAGGTAAGCACACCATATAGAGAAGTCTTGCCAGGTTAGGAACAATAAGAACAAGGTAGGTCGCAGAACAAAATCAGGA